TAATAATTTATATCTCATACTATAGACCTATTTTGTATGGCTCATATTTATTAAAAAAATAAACTAAAATATTGCACAAAAATTATAAGATTACTGGTAGCAGAAAATAATTCTCATATAACATGAAAAAATATTTTTCCTTAAAATTATTATAAAATAAGCATTTTCTTATGCACCTAAGATTCTTAACATGTTTGGATTCAATCATAACGAAGAACTTTTTAAAAATTTCTCTTAAAAATATTATACATTTTTTGAATACAATTCTTTTTGTGTTACAAAAATTACATATTAGTTAGTTAGCTATCAATATTTATAATGTATACAATAATACGTAGTTAGGTGGCTACTGACAAGTGACACCATTTTAAAACCGAGGCCTTTTCTCTTTCCTGTGTTGTATACTTATATATATATTAAAAGTGTTATATTATTCTTGCAAAAAATATAATTCGGGATGTTATATAACTATACCTGTTAATAAATTAAAAATATTATAAAATATATATCAACTAGTACAAAATTATATAGAATATTATTCCACGATAATATACCAATATAATTGGTGGCGTGTTGTGGAATACGACGACCGACGTGCCACGAAATCAATGTGTACCTTCAATTTCATAGCCATCGCCATTAAAGCACAAGGTCATTTCCTAGCAATTATTCTTGAGAATATTCATAGGGAAAAAATGCTTAATGCCTCAAAAATAAAATAAAAAAATCCTCCAGGGACTTCACTAATAACTTACATGTATCAAGTAAAGACTACGAGGTAAAATTATAATATAAGCATATAAAAAATAAAGAAAGATGCTCAATGCTTCAAATAAAACCCAAAAAATAAAATAAAATCGTGGAATCCACTAATAATTTACATCTTTCAAATAAAGACTTAGAGGGAGAATTATAATACAAACATCTAAATATAAAGAAATATCATTATAATCAAATGATAAAAAATTATATATGTAACAATATTTTTAAAAATATATTTTTATGAATTAAAAAAGGGAAAGTATTTTTCCAGTTATCAGAGATAAAGTTATTTCCAGCGAGCTCAAAATGACGTCATTTTAAGGTTATAAGATTAAAAAATTATAATGACAAAGACTAATATAACTTGCAATATATTAGAATTACAAAAACATCTTGAATTCCATCCCAAAACGACGTCGTTTTGGGCTCACCAGAAATAACTTATTTTCATTGACTGCAAAAAAAAATATTAAAAAATATCTTATTTATAATTTTAAGTACACATATTTGACACATAAAAAATTGAAAGAATAATTTTATATCTTTTCAATGTATCTCTTTCATTCTTTACTTTTTTTGCAGCTGACAACCGAAGATTAGGGTTGTTACTGGCCGGACATTGGTCTTAAAAGACTAAGTTTATTTTTAAATGTGTCAGTCTGACCTAGCGTGTTACCTGTTATTAATATAATCATCGGCATATAGTCTGACTTATTTACAAAGAAATAAAAATCTGATTTAGCCTGTTAAAAATAAATAAGACATCGAAAATTTATCCAAACAAAATATACGATAAACAACACTAATAATTCTACAAAAACACATAAATTAAATATATATCAAAACAGCATAATATAGCACAAAATCATTCAAAAAACTTAGTTAACTACTAAAATGAAGTGAAATGGATTGATGAGCGAGAGCTATTATGAGTCGTATAAAAAATATAAAATATAAATAAAAATTAGTGTGCTAGGTCAGTCTGAGAGGCTTTAAGGCCGAGCTTTTGAATTGGAGTACGAGGCCTTCTTATTAAACAAGCTTTTGTACAAATCTAAGTTTGGTTTAAACAATTAATATTAGACATGTAAGTTTGAGCTTTCATGAGCTAGGCCAAATGCCCTTGGTTTGTTTAGCACCCCTACCGAAGACTAATCATTTCGAGACAAGAGATGACATGAAATGGGTAAATCTCTCCCAACAATTTTTTTTTCCATACATACAGTCAGGGATCAAACCCATGTCAGCATGTTTAAAGAATACATCAAATATATCGGATTTTGTTGGTTTTCACTTTATTTTTTGGTACCGTAAATAAAAGAGCCAAATAATATTGAATTTCTAAAAAATAATTCTCTTATTTGCTGAACACATGGTAGTTAAAATCTCGATATAAATATGCGATTTTATGATTTTACGGTTTTTTTTTATTCAAAACGATTTCATCAAAATTCCAAAAACTTTTACGATTTTTTTACGTTAGGATTTTACATTTTACGATTTTTTATCCTCCTTCCAATTTTAGGTAAAATCTCGATTTTTACTACCATGGTTGAATAGAGGAAGTATTAATTTTTTTTAATATTAAGAAAATGGAGCAATTTTTATATAAAAAATGTAAAAGTAATACGAACTTAATAAAAAATCATTGGAATCTAAAATCAATAACTGCTCAAATAGATATATGCACCTATAATTTGAAAATTATGTAAATATTGTTTAAAAATATAGATTTTCGTTTGATCCGGCAATCTCTTGTAAACTCGTAGAAAATTAATTTAAAATGTTTTTATATTTTTAGGTATGCATATTTGACACAAACTTGTGACACGTGACATATTTAAAATGTTTTATATATGGGATCTATTTATTTTATATTGTATAAATTAATTATCTTATGCAATAGAAATAAGACAATAAAATTCGCTATTTTTTATTTTTCCTAAAAAAAAATAGATCCTACTATCTTATTTATTTTGTATAAAATAATTATCTTATACATCATAAAATAATTATTTCCCTTTATATTTTCACGAGAAAACAATCGAAAAGAAACGAAGGAATAAAGGAAAAATATAAATCGTCGGTGACAACTTTTCTCTTCTCAATCCGAAATGAAGGGATAGACTTAGGTGTTACATTTAAATTACAATTCTACCCACTGCTTCCAAGATAGTAAGTCGTACGCTGTCTTACCTACTTTGTCAACCACAAATGCAATATTAGATTTTCATGGTAGGGAACAGTGTTGTAAAATTCGGCCCGACCCGAAATTCGGTGAACCGGTTATCGGACCGGTTCAGGTCAAACATTAGACTAGTCATGCATCGATCAGGTCAAAACCCGGACAAAACTGGCCAAATCTGGTGACTCAGTGACCCGGTCGGGTCACACATTTAAAAAAAAATATCAAAATTGTTTTTGTCCAAAAAAATGTAGAACTCATTTTAATTTTTTTTTGTAATCTTATTTGTTAGTATACTCTTCTACAATGACCTCAAATTTCAGCTTCCAATACTGAAGCAATTTATGGAATAATAAATTAAGAGATTGTGACATATGTCATTTTTAATGTAGTTGAATTTGAAAAATATGAGTTCACTGTCATTGAGAGATATGTTTAGGAGAATTTTGAGTTGCAATTTAAATTGACATAGTAATAGCATGTATTTTTATTTATTTATGCTTCATGTTTTTTAGCTTATTTAATAAATCTTGTTTAATTCATCTTAAATATGAAGAATATAATTGAATTTATATGTTCATAATTATATATATATATTTGTATATCTATATATATCCAAGTCAACCGGTCCGACCAGTGACTCACTGGTCCGACCAGTGACCCGATAACCTAGTATCCCGACCGGGTTTAATAACACTGGTAGGGAATGTTCCATTATATTTTATATATTTTTTTTTTGGTAAAATACATTATATTTTATATATTTTTTTTTGGTAAAATACATTATATTTTTATATTTAACTCTGTGGGTAGCTTGCTCATTTCAAAATGTGTAATTTTTTTATAATGTTTTAATTAATTTGAGTGCCAATCTTTTTATTTATTTGTTATCAAGTTTATTTATTTATCTTAAAATAATTGTGTATGATTTGTAAAATAGAAAAAATAAATATAAAATTTTATTACATTGTAGCAAGGGTATTAACTATTTCATTTATTTATGATTTCTTTTATATATCTTTTATATTCTACACAACCAAGTAAAAGAAAAATATTTATTTTCTTTTATTTTCTCTTCATCTAAATATAAGAAAGAAAATATAGTGTTATTTTTTTTTTAATTTTTCTCTTTCCATCCAAACAAAGGATAAAATTAATGAATCTCACAACAAGTTCACAATCAAATTCACGAAATGAAATAAAAATATATAGATAAAATAAAAACTTAAAGGGATTAAAAAGGGATATTATTTAAAAAAATAAATACTGAAAAGCCAGCACTTCGACATGTACATAATTGCTTTGCTTTCTTTTTTTTTTAGAAAGAAGGGGCTCAACAACATTTCTTTTTCAATTATAGAAAATCTCAACCTATAATTTTTTTCTTTTTAATCAAAAAATAATAAATAAATACATAATTAAATGTCTGTGCTTGTAACGGATTTGTTTTACCTTCTATCTGTTTTTTCTTTTAAAAAAATCTGAACCATAAAAAATGTCTAATTTCAGTGCAAAATTCAAACTACAGCAATTGTAACTAAAATACATGACTTACACCTGGTAGAGTCATTTTTACAAAGGAAAAATATTTGTTATTTTAAATGATATAAAAATTATATCTTTTTAAAAGAGATAGACACAAAATAATAATTATTTTATTTAAAATTTAAATTAAAAAAATCATACACTTTCTCCCTTATAATTTTCATTCCTTGTATCTATCTCTTTTAAAATGAAATAACTTATGTAATTTTATAATTGCTTTTCCGTGCGTAACTTCAATTTTTTATTTTAGAAACAGCAGAGAGAGAAGGGCTTCTTCGGACCCGTTAAACACTGAAAGGGGGCTTGCTTAGATGGGCCTAATAATCATCAGATCAGGTTTATAATTTGAACAGTAAAAGCCCATGCCATAACCCTTGTGAATTATGATTATCTGGTTCACTGTTGAGGCCTCTAAGCAGAAAAAGCCCAATGCCAAGCCCAAACCTAGGACCAGGTCCATTTAATGTTGATTTCAGAAAAACCCTACCTACACATGAAACCAAAAGAGGTGGCAACAAACCAGTATTGAAGATAGCTATATAATAGTTACAACTTAGGGTTTCTGATTCGTGTGCCGAATTCACTCTCTCTCTTGGCCGTCATCTGGAGGTGGTGTTTTTGCAAAGAGTGAGTCATGGCTGTTGGCAAGAACAAGCGGATCTCGAAGGGGAAGAAAGGTGGCAAGAAAAAGGCGTGAGTATCCAATTCCTATCACCTTTCAAAGTTTCATTTTTTGCATCTACTTTGCCTTATTTATTCATATTCATTTCTGGGTTTTGTTTTGTTAACTATGAATGTGCAGTGCTGATCCGTTTTCCAAGAAGGACTGGTACGACATAAAAGCTCCTTCAGTGTTTCAGGTCAAAAACGTTGGAAAGACACTTGTCACCCGTACTCAGGGTACCAAAGTAATGCTCTCTCTCTTTTTTTTTTTGGAATATGGAATTGTGAAATGGGATTCAGTTTTTAATGAAATTTGGTTTGCTTTATGTTTTGGGTCACTTGTTTGAGTCTTCAAAATGAATAATTTGTTTTGATATAGCTTGGATTTGTGTTAGGTTCTGAGATTTCAGTATAAGGTTGGATGTTTGTTGATTTCGATCTAATATAGTTATGTACAAATGTATGCTTTCATTTTACTCGGGGACTTTTTTTTCATTTTTTTTTGTTTCGATGCATTTAATCAAATGACTGAAAAAAATTTATTTACTGAGTGAACTGTAAGAAATTAAACAGAATAGTAGCTCCATCCTATGGGATTTTACTTCATAGGTCTCTATATCATATGAGGAGAATTAATTTTTGTTCAAGATACGTGTATTGCATTTTTGTTCTTTGGTTAAAAATGATTTGAGTCTTCCAAGGGGTTGCTTACAGTGGCTCATTTTCTTGCGTATGTGATTTGGTATACATAAACTTAACATGCTTATATAAAACATGGTGGTATTTCAAATACCAGATTGCTTCAGAAGGACTCAAACATCGAGTGTTTGAGGTATCTTTGGCTGATCTTCAAGGGGACGAGGACCACTCCTTCAAAAAGATCAGGTTGAGAGCTGAAGATGTCCAAGGGAAGAATGTTCTTACAAATTTCTGGGTATGATATATGCCTGAAGATTCTGTGGATCATAATATTCTCCTGCATTGTTCTTAACTAATTTGATTTTTTTCTTTTAATCTCTAGGGAATGGATTTCACCACTGACAAGCTGAGATCATTGGTGCGAAAGTGGCAAACCCTGATTGAGGCCCATGTCGATGTGAAAACCACTGACAACTACACATTGAGGATGTTCTGCATTGGATTTACCAAGAGGAGAAGTAATCAGGTGAAGAGAACCTGTTATGCACAGTCAAGCCAGATTAGACAGGTATATATGCTAATGTTTATTAGATGCACATATTGGTTTGTTATCAATGTGTTCAATTCTTAATATAGAAGCATATGGCCAACATTATCCAGCGCATGTTGCTGGTTGTGTTTCTCTTCTATGAAGTACTGAGATATAAAAATAAATTAATGGTCTGAACTCAGTAATATTATTTTTTTACCTTAGTTGATTCTTGGTATTGCGTTGTCACTGTTGTGCTCCAAATTGCTTAGTAATTTATTTGATCGTGTATCTGAATTTGGCAATTGGTAAATGGGTTTTGCCCTGTATTATGAATCTGTGTTTTTTTATTAGATTTTTGGTTGAGAGGGGACTACTTTGAGTTTTCCTCTGTAATATTGCATATTAGTAGTTAAAAATACACCTTTGACTTTCCAGATCCGTAGGAAGATGCGCGAGATAATGATCAACCAGGCAACATCCTGTGATTTGAAGGAACTTGTCCGCAAGTTTTTTCCTGAGATGATTGGAAAAGAAATTGAGAAAGCTACATCGAGTATCTATCCTCTGCAGAATGTTTTCATTCGAAAAGTCAAGATCCTTAAAGCTCCAAAGTTTGATCTTGGAAAATTGATGGAGGTATTTTTTAAAATAAAATATCACTTTTCATTTTTTTTCTTAGTTTACCCCTCGTGAAAGTGTTCCATTATTTCGTTCACGACAATAGAACTCGGTTGTTTAGTCATTCAAATATTTCCTTTACATCAACTGAGCTAATTTTAGCTGTTTTTTTCAAATATTTTCTTTTTCAACTACTTTTGCCAATTAACATGTCTGGCATGAAAGTGTTTTTAATCCGATCAAGTGGATTGATGCGATACATTTTCTGTTTGGTCCATGTAGGTCCATGGGGATTACTCCGAAGATGTTGGTACTAAGGTTGACAGACCCGCTGATGAAACAATGGCACCAGAGGGAACCACCGAAGTTGTTGGAGCTTAATTTAGTGATAATGCATTTTTGCTTTGTTTAGGTTTCCTGTTACTTGTGTTTTTACTGAAAATTAAGTTTAAATTTGAGTATAACATTTTGCCGTGCAGAAAACTTTTTTGGCCTAGCAATATATATCTGGATTTTGTTCGGAACCCTCAATTAAGATTTGCGGCTCGTAGGCAATATATATTCTTTGAGTTTGAACTTTGATGCATGTAGCATCAATTTAATTCAACACGTTCCAAATGGACATATATATTTGTGGATCATTTGAAAGAACACAGAACATGACAGTGTCTCTATTTTTTTCCTTTAATGAATATATATTTCCTGAGAACTCCCTCCGTTTGAAAACCAGCCCTTCTCCAGCATCCTCTGAAAACCCACATTTTATACATCAACTAAAGTTTCAAGCCTCCCCGGAAGCCTCCCCGGATGTGTGTAAGCTGAATGCTGCTTTAATTACTTGTTTCACAGCCTGTGTGGCAGTCCTTTTACTCCAGTATATTGTGAACATAACTATAGTTCGGTGGATTTATCCCTGCGTTTTTCCTGGTTCGAACAGATGTTAATGCCATCCTTAATCCTTATTGCTGGTGTATCGTTCCCGAGTTTTAAGCCTGGCCACTTTTTCATTTGGTCCACAACATGTGGAAATCAACATCCTCTTCTTCGGCATCTGATTTTGAATAATTATGAGCTTCCTTAATCATTGATATTTCTTATCTTGGATGCATTTAGGGTTTGATTATATAGAACCGATCAGATACAGCTTGTCCAAAAATAGAAAGATTAAGAAGCTTTGAGTTGTGGCCTACTTGTTATGTGCTAAAAAACTGTATGTAAAGGAAGAATAATTTAAGTGACAGTGTAAACTGTAAAGTAATAACCAAATAATAAACACGATCCTGGTAAAATCAAAAGACAAAAAGCATGTAAAATATATATGAATGTATAAATTTCAAGCCCAACCGTGAGATGGCCATTTGATTGATGATGTAGTCGGCCATTGGATTGATCATCAAATTGGTATTAGCTGGATTCGAATTTGAATTCCCTTGTTTGAGGATCGGAAGGCTTATTACTGAATTACTTTTATTTGTTGGATATAATGTTCATAATTAATATTTATTATATAATTATTTTGAAATCCGATTAAACTATTAATCATTGATCCAGTACCTCGGAGTCGATGACTAGGTCGAGTTTTAAAACATTGCTTAAAACCCACTTCCTCCATCTTTTTCATTTCATCTATTTTCAATTTTTTATTCATCACCCATATAAACAACTATAAATTATCACAATAATATGCTTGGAGCATGGACCAAGAAAAAAATAATATTAGAATAACAGATTATTCTTAAATTAATATAAGAAAAAAAATAAATTTTTATGTTTTTTTATTAATTTATTTATATCTCATAATTCATATAATTAAAAAATTAAATTCATTAAATATAAATAATATTAACTATCAAAATTAAGGTAAAAAGAATAATAAAAAGCGAGGTAGACAGACAAACAGGGCTCAAGTGATTCTCCCTGATGGCCTGATAAAGTCACAAAACCAATTATGGATAGAGGTAAACATAAAATTTCCACAAAACCAAATTATGTAAATCACAATTAATATTCCGTTACACCCGGCACTCATATTGTACTAATCACACAATTTTATCCATTCCCAAAACTCAAAAGAGTTAACCTTTTATTACTTGAATTAATGACTATTGGTGCTCATTTAATTTTTCCGTCAATGATTATAATTCCTCAATTTTTTTTTTCTTTTGAAGTGAGCCTTTTACTTTAGAGAAGCTAAATCCATTGAACCCTAAACCAACAATAACCCTTTATATTGTGTTTTTTTTCTTATACAATCCCACATAATAAGCATTTTGCAAGTAACAAGAAAAAGGATAGTTTATTTTTTCTTGAAAATCTTCAAAAAATAAGAAAGTGATAAAAAATAGGATAGTTGATATCTTTATATAATCTTTTCAAAAATTTATAATTATCTTAATTATTTAATAAATAATATTTCTTAATAAAAAATGGATTATAAGATAACTGGTAGAAAACTGACAATACCTCTTATAAATAATATCTCTTAAAATCCGGTAATGATATATATGAAATTTAAATCAATAACAGATAAGATAACTAGTATAAAAATTTTAAAAAGAAAGAAGTTATTCAAAGATGCATGAAAATCAAAATTTATGATTTAGGAATTTTTGTATCTTTTATTTTGTCAAAAATAATTAGGAAATATCAAAACATAATCTCAAAAATCATATATTGGGTACTTGAATTTTTTTTAAAATAATAGCAATTTCATCCTTGTCGGCCGAAAACTAAGATGCAATATATTCTCACTAAAATCTCTCTCTGTCTAATTTTTCCTGCACGTGATCATAGCTAACAGAAAGATTTTTAAAAAAAATATACCACAATTATGAAATTTAACTTTTGTAAATAATCAAATTATCATTACCCAAATTCAAATGAATTATGAGAAAAAAGAGGCAAGTTTGTCGTTTGCATAATCAATCAATCAATATCCTATATGAGGATTCCAAAATTTATGCGAATCCTAATTAAATCTACCATTACCCAAAATTCAAACGAATTATAAGAACAAAGAGGTAAGTTCAATATATCTTGGGTGTTCCAATTGTTATGAGAATCATAATCAAATCAAAATTATAATCAAATAAAATTCTCTAATACTTACTTATTTTTTTACCTATTTAAACATCCAAGTTGTGAGTCTTCTTCACAAACCAAATTCACAACAACATCACCGCTCAAATGGCTTGTCTCTCCTTTCCCTATGCCATTCTTCCTAGCATCCTAGAAGAAACAAACGAAGACAACCCAACCACAGTTAATCGTAGCATCTTCACTGTGATAGAATACAAGCGCTATGAGTGGAAAAACATGCTCACGTCCCATGTGGGCCGGTGCCTGGTGTGTTGGTTCTTCTCGTAATTGGCTTGTGCTTTTAGACATAAACGGATCACCTTTTCTTCTAAATCCTTCATCTGCTACTTTCATTCACTTCCCACCCTTTCCTCATACATTCATACACCCTGTTGAACATTCTTATTTTGTTCAATTCTTACAAAAGACCTTTGTATCCAAAGTTGCATTGATGTGTTCTACCTCTCCTTTGCACTACACTCTTGCCATATTGTATGGATGTCCATGTAAGCTTGCATTATGTAAGTCTAACACGTGGGTTAAAATCTCTGATGCTAAGAGCTTTTATTCTGACATTGTGTTTAGCAACAATTATCTTTATGCTTTGGCGGAAGATGGCTCCGTTGACGCATGGGATATTTGGCAACGAATTCCTAGAAAGATCTTAGATGTTAAACCAACCATAGAAAGAGCTGAGGAAGAAGACAGAGAATTTCCAAGGGACAATTTTTCAACACAATTATACTTAGTGATATCAGAGGGAGACTTGTTGTTGGTAAAAAGGTATATTGGAAATTTTGTCAATGCAGATGGTGAGGTACTAAAGGAAGAGCCTGATACTGTTTGTCTTTACAGAACAAAGCATTTTATTGTGTATAAACTTGACCTTAGAAAGATCAAATGGCAAAAGATAAGGTCTTTACGCAATAAAGTTCTATTTCTAGGTGCTAATGAGTCTACATCAGTGCCTTCTCAAGCTTTATCTGGATACGAAGCAAATTCAATTTATTTCACAGATGATAGGTGGGAAGAGATGAATTTAGATTGGTCTTATGGTGGTCATGATTGGGGTGTTTTCAATCTTCAAAATAAAAGTGTCAAGCTCTTCACTCCATATGAAATCAAGATAAATTCACCTCCTATTTGGGTGGTTCCAACTACAAAGGAAAATTCAGCTATAGATCATTTTGGTGAATTGCATGTATCCACTTGATTGATTATATTCCATTAGATCATCACCTTTTTTGGATTATTATTTCTTTTATATTCATTGTAAGGGATTATCATTTACATGATATATGTAATTTAATTTCTTTACCAAGTATTGTTTCAAATAGGCAAAATAGAATCCACTCATACTTTTTAAATATTAAATATAAGTTTTTTTTTTTATTTAGCTTAATATCTGGAATATAATTGCTGGAATTATTTAATTTATCTAAATGTATTAGCTTAATATCAGGGGTGCCTTTTTAAGATCATTTGGACTATACATTGTAAACAATGGAGATATATATTATAATCATTTCTGATTTATTTCCCATTGCATTGGATAATTAGTTTCCTTATTATAGGTGTGATTGCTCTTGATTATTTTTCTATTTTTGGCTCAAGTCTTAAATTAGGAATCAATTCTTAGGGTTTTTTTTTGGTAGAGAATTCTTAGGGTTTAAATTATATTCAATATTTATTTGTTTCATTTAAATTATATACATGACACTCGATGAGATAATACTCAGTATTTTTTTTCATATTTCAATTCTAAATTTTTTACTTAATCGTAATTAAAACAAAAGTTTGTCCGAAGAACCCCCAAAAAAAGTTTTGTTTTTTGGTATCCAAAAAAAAAACAACTTAAAAAAAAGTTAATTTAAACACATATTACCAATGTTTTCTTTTTAAATTATTTTTACAATATAGTTTATTTTTAAAAGATTTCTTGTAAACTTAAGAAAAACACTATTTTTTTTTCATAAAACATTTATTTATTAAAAATTAAACATATTTTTAATTCAAAAGGTATTTTACTTCTTATAGAAAAAGGTTTTACTTTTTAATATTTTGCACCGACATGGGACATGACATGTCACGATATCCCAACACATTAATTTTAAAAATATTAGATTTTGACACATTAGGACATGTTTTGATATTAAATAATTTTTTAATTTATATAATTTATATTATATTTAATATTCAATTATTTAACAAAAAAATAAAATTAAACTTAAAATATCCGTCAATTTTATAAAGAAACATAAGATGTAAATATTTACTATTATATTTAATATTAAAAATCTCTTATACATTTCAGTGAAATTTATTCGATATCTATTTTTAATTTTTATTATATTAATTTGTTAAAATATCAATTAATTTATTATATCATAATATCGAAAATGTCGAAAACGATACTTCATTTTTTTTTAAATATCGGTGTTACATAATTTCAGCAAATACAAAACTAAAAACCCAACCATTATCCTGATTACTTTTCCTTTCTTGTTTGTATGTGTACCTTAATTTGTGGGTTCCCATAAATGCCCCCCCAAAAAAAAAAAAAACAAAATGCTTGCAGCTCCTGAATTAATTCACTAACAAAAGTACAAAACAAATGGTTAAGTCGATTGCGGAGGGGCAATTGACAACGTGGACCCGTAACTAACCAAGTCTCACTCTCTTTCACAATTAGCTTTGCACAAGTCACTCGCCATCTTTTTAGTGTACCTCGCTTCTAATTAATGATTTTTTTATTTTATTTTTGTCTCTCGTACGAACCTATTTGAGATTTTTTTTAAGTTAAAAATTACTTTTAGGTGAGAGTCAAAAAAAGATTTTAAAAAATAAAGTTAAAATTTATTTGATAATTGTACAGAATTTTTCTTAGAATTTTAAAGTGAGAGAGATGAAATAATTTATTATTTGGATAAATTATTAAAATAAATATATAATTGAAAAATACATGCATGAACTCCAGAAAGTTGATATATATATATATATATATATATATATATATAAATAAATTCACGGGATCTTTTTTTTTTTAAAATAAAAATAAAAATTCTACTTATAAGAAAAATTGGAAATAAAAGTAATAGCTCTAAACAGGCAATAACTATTGATCTTATATTAATTTTGGACATTAAAACGATTAGTTAATAATAAGAGTCCACTTTCAATAGTTCTCTTCTAATGTATGTCCGCATAAGAACTCTGAAGACGCTCTCAGACTCTCCTTTTTAAACTTTATGTAAAGTAACGTCACACTTTAAACATATAATTGATAATTTTATAATTCACATTTAAATATAAATCTTTGTGCGATTAAACTATACTTTTTTACTTTTTATATATCCCCTCAAACTCAGATAATTATATGTATTTGTATAAAGCTTGTAAAGGCAAATTTTGAAATTTAAGTTTTCGGACTCTTTCAGTTAATTATTAACAAGAAGATTATTATTTTTAGAATAAATACATTTTTGGGTCCCTAACAAAAAAACATGGTCTCTACTTTAGTCCCTTAAAAAAAATAAAAATTGAAAGTCCCTAAGAAATTCAAAATGGATTCATTTTAGTCCTTTTAAGGAACTAATGCGTGTCTTTTTGAATTTGTGAGGGACCATGATTTCAATTAAATAGGTCCACTTTGAATTTCTTAGAGACCTCGAGAGTAATTTTTATTTGTAAGGGATTAAAATGGGGACTATATTTTTTGTCAAGGACCCAAAAGAGTATTTACTTTTATTTTTATATGGATCTTAATTATTTGTTTTTTTAATATCCGTCACTCTCTAGCTAGAGATATATTTGGTCTCAAGGTTTCTCCCCACGTTATATATATATAAAATTTTCCAGGATAAAAAAATGTCTTGTCAGCTGCAATGGTCATGCATAGCATGTGCAACTTTATCACTTAAGCAGACAATATGATCCAAGTCAATTTATTAAGGCATTGGCAAACCCTACTACAAAGAATTTCACATTCATGCATTACTATGACTGATCCACTTATGCTTCATGTTGGTACTCAGTATGACTGATATCATGATAATGATAGACCAACCGCTTACTCAGCTATATTTATAGGATTTATGCAATAAATATAAATAAGTTATTTACATTCATTTTTAAAACAACGTCGTTTTGAGTTAACAGATTAAAAAATTATAATGATAAAGACTGTTATAATTTTAAAATAAATTATAATTACAAAAGCACTTTAATTTTTGTCCAAATCAACGTTATTTTGAATTCAATATAAATAACTTATCTACATTCCTCGCATGAAAAAACGAATCCATATTTATATATAACTTTCTTTTTTGTGTGTGGAAAAAACATAATGTAAAATGAATTTCCGATAACAATTGTTCTATAATGTGTGAAAGTCATTCTTTCGTTGTAGCAAGTAGCAACTTCTAAGATGCGTTTGGAATGTGTAAATTAGATTTCATGTTTGAAATCATATTTGGAAGACACAGAATGCAGAGTGCGCCACTATAGTGAAAAATGATTAGAAGCCAGTTACTCAATAATATAAAATGCGTATATATATATATATATATATATCACCAAAAAAGATATATTCAAAATAGCATGTAATATTCAATATAGCATTAATTAGCAGAAAAAAGTTTAGTATGAGAAGAATATAGCATTAGCATGTACTTGAAGCCACAATTAACCTGGTTATCTATTCAATAATTGAATATCAAGGTTCCAGGTTAGCCTTGCATTTTTGCATACTAAGAAACCCTTCTAAAAGATGGCTGCGCGCATCTTGTTCTTGGGTATTGAAATTGAAAACACAAATGGCATGTAATGTCACAAAGCTAGCAAGATTTTCCTGCCGAGCTCATTGCAGCAAAAACTACAATTTTCATAGAAATCATGTGATATTAACTTGAAGGCTATAAAGTTAACTGTTGAAAATAAACCATGATCAGAACAACAATTAACCAGACTTGCATCGTAACTGTTTATGACGTCAAAAGGTGTCCATTTCTTGATAACAATGTGCTTTAAATTTGTTCCAAGAAATCCTCAAAAGAGATGGTGTTTAGCCCCCTATTTAGGACTAGAGGCCAAATAATCAAGTTGCTCAACCAAATCATCTACATCTTCAAAACCTAGCACATCTTGATCTTCAACACCCTCATTAAACAAATCTTGCCAAAACACCTCATCAATGTCTTTGTCTCTACTTTCAAGTTGAAAACGATCTTCCTCTAAGTCCTTTTGGCTTCCACTTTGTCCCTCCATATTCAAAGCAAGGTCCAGATCTGATACCTCAACTGAGCAATCTTCAACAAAGCCCAATTCACCTATTTCAACATTACTAGGCCCTTGATCAATAGGTCGCCTCCTCTTCTTGGAAAACGCTTCCTCAAGCTCTTTTCTCCATTCTTTTTGGTGAACTAATTGTTGCATGAAGTTAGGATTCTGCATTGCCCTTGCCAAGAAGTTCATCATCTGTTGCTGCTTCTGTTCTGTCCTTTTAAGCCTTCCTTCCATTTCATGAAGTTGAACTCTTGTATTCTTCTGCTCTTGTCTGAGTTTCACCAACTCCACCATGAGAACTTGTTTGTCACGCCTCAAACGATCAACTTCTCCATCTAATCCAAAATGCCCTACCTCAACAACACAAGGGTCTGGAACTTGCTCTAATAGTGCCTGAGGTTGATTTGCTTTCCTCCTTCTAATGTTCTTCAAAAGAATCCTTTGTCCTCTAAGAAACCTCTCATTAGCAAACTCCCACTTATCTGGATCAACCTTTTTAAACCCCTAGAATAATATCAATTTCCTTCATTTTCATATCTATAAAATTATCTCACTAGGTTTGAGAAATTCATATGATAAACTCTTATCTAATTAAAGGATACACACACATCTAATAAAGATATATAGCATCATCACTGCAGATGATAAAGGTGCAAATCAATACTGTCTTGTATCATTTTATATTGTAAATTTTCTACTTTTTTATTTTACAAGACATTAGACTAAAAATGTCAAAAATAGGGAAATTAACCCAACAAACAAAAAGGATAAGATGGGACCAATCGAAAGCCTACAAATTAAGTACCAACTGTGATAAATGAAGATAGAAGAATACTAACACATTAATTCCAGCAGCTTCATGAACGTCAATGAAGATAAGGCTATCATTGCATCTAAATGCAGTATCCATAATGAAAACAACACAGACTGAAAACAAAACCGTGATCTCATGTTATTGTCCCCTTTTGAGAAGATTATAATTACTTCATTTCATCACAAAGATGAGAAAAAACAAGAAGAGGAAATAAAATATATATATATATATATATATATCATCTTGATGGTGGCTGAGTAGAAAGAGAAGTTACTCACATAGGTGTTAAGTTGCCTAACAAAACTGGAGAAATTGTTGTGTTTGAAGAATCTTGGGAGAAGGCTTATGGAAAAGGCCTGTGGATCCCACACAACAAAGCTGTTGTTCCCTATGCTCCATGAAACTATATGATTAGTGGAAGGGTCATCAACTATGTCATATGTTTTTGTGAGGAATGGTGGAGGACCATTTTCATGAAGCCCCTCAATTGGTTGGGGAGTAACCATATTTGGTTTCTGGTCACCAGAAAAGGATGAAAAACTTTCTCCAAGAAACTCCTCCTTCACTTGACCCTGAGGATTATTCATAATGGAATATGGTGCTAGCTCAAGCTTTGATAGAAAATTAAAGATGGTTTTGCCTTTGACTTTGAGCTTGTGAGGCTCTTAACAGCTGGCGGCTAAACCTGATCAATGCAGTGAGTTTATCTATTCATAAAAGGAACTGTTTTGAATTTTGTGACAAAGTGAAACTAAAAAAGATTGTTAGAGAGAGTGGCTGAGAAGTGAGTGTAGAGAGTTAAGTTGTATGATGTTATTATGGTATGTGAGGAAGGAGGTGTAGAAGCAGGTGCAGCATGAGTTTTGCTCAATCTATAAATATCTGTTGATGCCTTTGTTCTTTTGCCTTTTCGCTTTTTCATTTTTTTTAGGAGACATGCCACAATTTTTAAATAATTCTTCTGTATTACAATCAATTGTGATTGGTTTAGCAAATATGAGGATAATGTTATGATCTATTTTAATATCTTTTATAGTTCACTTACTGATTCGTGTTTAATGGGCTAAAAATTCATCTAATAACCCAACTCTTTTGTCAGATATGATATAAGGAGGTCGTATTCCTTCCTAAGAGATTTTGAGTTTGAGTCCTAGAAATAATAATAATAATTTTTTTTTGAAAGAGCTGCCTTCAAAAAGATCCGACAATGCTCGATGAGAATTAGTCTTCAATTATGATCCGAGAATACCTTTAAATTATTCAAAATAAAAAAATTCATTAGTGTACGTAGTTTAATAAAATCAGTGTGACAATTGATCCAAGAGATTTTTGATTCGAGGATTCACTACTCAATTAACTCTTTGATTTTTTTTTTTTTGGGTATACAATTAACTCTTTGATTTAACCCATTAATAATTAGAATAAGGGAGAGTAAGAGTAGCAAAAAAAAATTCAGTTCAGGAAATCATTCAATACAGTCGTAAAATGACATGTGCAGAACTTATTTAGTGTCTTATATTTATAGGAGAGAATTATATTTATAAATTATCCAAAAATGAGAGAGTTATATTTATAAATTTTTTATTTAGAAATTATACTATATACTTCAAAGAATACACTTACTTAGAAATATTTTCCTAAAACATATAATATAATTTATAAGAATTTATAATAAAAAATTATAAATATAAGATTCCCTGTATTTATATATGCCATCTCAACTTAATTTTATAAATATGATATGCCAATCATGAGTTATACGACTACTGGGAAGGTAAAGTGCAGCACAATACCAACAGGTCAATCAGATATTTTTTTCTTCTCCTTTAGAAAAGCAGTTGCAACTTGCATTACTAAATTCAATTTATTTAGCATTTAGCATTCACCAGAACAAAAAAAGAGGGGGAGGGTGGGTTGGGTTGGTTTAGCCAACTATCATGGGCACAATTAGTTAGGAGTTTGGCTCATAATCTTTAAGGGTGTGGGTTAAAACTTTATTATTTGATACGAGAATTTTATTGACAAATAATATGTAAATAATCCCTTTCGAAAATTCTCAAACAGATTAGGTAACCTCTCATCATGATGGAATATCGTATCTAATTCAACTTAAAATTTCTTTTCTTTTTTGGTCAACGATTAGGGTGACGTTTTCGCTGGCATCGGGGCATGTGCTTAAGAAATTTTATTAGTCCTTAGAAAAATATGACCGGGGAATATTCAAGAAGTAACTAGAGCAATTTTAAATTATTTTATTAAGTCCATTTTTGGCCATCTTCTAGATGAATGTGATTGTCCTTTTCTTTCTATTTCGTTCTGCATTGGTATTTGACTATTGAGAGTTCTACTATGCATTTTTTAAGAAGGGTTTTGGATGAAAATTCATCCATTAAAATATACATGCTTTTAAAGGACCAAGTCACTTTAAATATATTTTTAAAAGAGGGTTTATTCTGGGAGATAATTTTATATCCTATTTATATATAAAAATATTGTAATTTTTATTTTTTTTGGTAAAAGAGGTTCATATAAAGTTATGTGAGGATAAGAAAGATAAAGAAAAAAAATATAAATCTAATATTTTTTAATAATATAAATCCTACATATTTTATATATATAAAAAATAATTTTATATTCTATAATATGAGAAATATTAAATTCTTAAAAAAAAAATAGGAATGTATATAAATTTTTCTGTACATTTTTATATTCAGGAAGTGTTATATACATATATTTTTACACAACTCATGTTTTTTCTGCTTTTCCCATTTTTGCCAATGAAACTACTTTCCATATCGTCATATTCAGAGCCTTAGATTAGGGGTGCTAAATGAATCAGGAGTCTTTTAGGGGCTTTGGCTCAGCTCGTAAAGACCTAAGCTTACATGTCTAAAATTGATTGTTGGAACAAGGCTTAAACATATATAAAAGTTCGTTTAATAAAAAGGCTTTAGGCTTCAATTGAAAAGCTCGGCCTTATAGTCTTTTAGGCTGACCTAGTATATTAATTTTTATTTTATATTTTTTATACAGCTTGTAGTAGCCCTCTCTCTCTCCTCAATCCTCGTCCTATTTTATTGGTTAAACAGACTTTTTGAATGATTTTGTTCTATATTATGCTGTTTGGATATACATTGAAGTTATGAATATTTATGGAATTACTAATGTTGTTGATTGTATATTCTGTTTGGATAAATTTTTGTTGTCTTATTTTTTTTTTAAATAGGCTGACAGACTAAACTAGACTTTTATTTTTTGTAAATAAGTCAGGTCACAGGCCGATAATTATATTCATAACAGGTAACAAGCTTAGTCAGGCTGATACATTTAAACACAAACTTAACCTCTTACGATCAAAGTTCGACTCGACTCGTTAACACCCCTACTTAGATCTACTCGTTTCAAGAATGCAGTGACGTTCCAGCAGAAAATAGCCAATGAATGTTAAAGAACAAGCATTTAGAGCCCGATTGTTTAGATTTGTAGTTTTTATGCCTTACTTATTTTAGGAGTAATTTTTATAAAAGTTAAACATATTTAAATTTTTTTAAACACATTTAGTTTTATAAAAAATATTTATCTTTTGACTTTTATTTTTTTTAAAGTTAAAATTTTTAACTTCAAAAAAATTAATAGGATTTTGACTTTTTTTTTTAAAACAGATATTTAAATGAATTTATATATATATTGAAAAAAGTAACTTTTAGAGAGAATTTTTTTTTTTATCCAAACTGGCCCTTATACGTGTACATAATAAATATTTGTGATGTATTTTTTGTATGTTTTTACATAAATATTTTTTGCATTATTGATCAGTGTTGCTGTTGAAAGATTTTTATAAAATCAAGAGCTTGAGTTCATAAAAGCACTTGTGAAAAGTATATTATTATTTTTTATTTTTTTGGTAAACAAAGTATATGTTATTAACATACTCAAATAAGGATTCATGTTCACATTCAAAGAATGAAAAAAAAACTTAGCAATAAAGAAATTAATGAACTTTTATGCTATTTTAAAAATACATTCAAAGAATGTAAAACTAGTACAGTTATACCAAAACTGAAGGCCACTAAATTTAAAATAAGGTTAAATATTACAATAAAAACTTTTCATAGATAAACTGCAAAAATTATTCCATTCACAAAAAGGATTTAATGTCTCTTATGTTATATAAAAGATGAAATTATTTCTTACACGTACATAAAAACATGTAAGACTCGTATAGAATCATGTGAAAAAAATAATAATATAAATAACATATAATTTTATATATATATAAAAAATAAAATTATCTTTCACAACATATTACACACTTAAAAAAATGACCAGCCATTAAAGTAAAGCATTCACGGAGAATTGGAGATGTACGGAATCGGCAAGCTCGAGGTTGTCAAAATAAATATCTAGGTGTACAACATTATTTTATATTATATATTAATATTATTTATTCAGGCATATCATGTCACGGAGCTGCTATCATTCTATCAATGATTTTTTCTTGTATGCTATTGGACTAAGGCTTTTTCTTACTTCAAGAAAAATCCCTATCATTAAGTTTTTTCTCATGATCGATTAGATTAATTGTTGAAGATGTTTAATGGAAGTTATTCCAAAATTACGAATTAATTTCTCCACTTTTGATCAAACACCAACTCTAACCTTTTCACACTAATATTACACAAAAAGGTGTGAAGTCTCCTATATATACTGCTGCTTCCTTTATGTAAAAGGACTCCATTGTGATCAATATAGGGTATGTGGGTATGTTTAATTTCTATTGTTTATAAGGATAAGTTATATGCAGAATGAGTAGTGAAACTCCTATATTTCAGGATTTAAATGAAATTAGTGATTGTAAACATTTCAAGGGGTATATATTGGCATAACTATTTCCTCTAACACAGTAAAATCCAACACAACACAATATAATTAGCTGACTACAATTTTTCGTGTTTGTTTATCATTATTTTCTTTCGATCCAAGCATCTTTCACTTTATTTTATTCTCTATCAAACCAAGTCTGGTAGGTACCGTTTCAGAGCAACCGTCATTACTCGAATTAATAAAAAGAGTTTTCATGTCAAAAAAAAATAAAAAAAATATCAAATCCAACAAGATGCCAACTTGGCATGAAATCCTATTAAGAGAGTACACGATAATATAGAAAAATAATCTAAATATTTTATTGTTTTACCTTTTTTTTTTTTTTGATAACATTATTGTTTTACCTTTTGTACAAGAGTAAGCTGCAATATATTGTAAGCGAAATACCGTATGATAATTAGTTCAACTAATAAGATTAAATTGTATTAAATAAAAAGCTTAAGATTTATTTTTATTATGACTTTTTTTTATCAATAATTAATCTATAAGTATCATTACAAGTCCTTATCATTTTTTTTTTGAAATATTCTAATCGGGTTCATTGTTTTGCAATTAATTTGATTTGGGACGGGTCCAAGATTAAGACTTTAAACTTCTCCCAAAAATAATACTAAGAAGATTCAAACAGATGCTCTTATCCCCGTCACCACACCATTTGGTACAAGTCGTTATTATTTAATAAATGAATAATGTTTAGCACAGG